AGTCATAATAGACGTGAGAACACTATTTTCCACCATATTTCTTCACTTGTTTACACTCAGTTGAAGAAAATAGGCTTACTTATCAGCAACATACACTTATCTGGCAAAATGAATTAAGACCACCTATCAAATTCTAAGTGTCATTTCACTTCAAAGAAACTAGATATGCTAACCAAATCTTTTTTTTCTTCTTAATCTCATAAAATACCCAAATAATCTTAGATGAAAAAAAAAAAAAGACTGGTGAAGGCATTTTGAATGAATAGAAAAACTGCAAAATTTGTGGCTATAAGCTTAAAATTTGCCCTAAAATCTAAATGTATCAAACTCACAAACTATAGAGAATAAATCATGTTTCAGAAATGTAGAATGTACATATGCCCCAAAGTTTTCTCTGGTTACAAGGCAATAAAATGACTATACCTTCTTACTTCATGAATCTTATAAATGGAAATAAGTCTGATACCTGGTGATTTTGGTTAATATTAAAAGAAACGACTCAGCTATTTTGCTCACATACCTTGTAATATATATTTCCAAATATAAGTGAGTGATGTGAGAAAAGGAAAATTAATAATAAATAAACTATGTTAGATATTTATAGTTGTGGCTTGATACAAAAGTCCTCTCACTATCAGTAATCTGATATGGTCACCAAGTAGAGCTGATGTCAGCAAATTCACCAGATAACAGTCTTGTGAATATGTAGAAAACATCGAACTTGTGTTCATTCATTTATTCAGTAACCAATCGCTCAGAGTTTACAAAAAGACTCTGATGTTTACAAGGTGTACAAGGAGCCAATGAGCTTGTACTCACCAGATGGGGAGAGAGGCAGACATGCAAACAAGTAATTATCATGTAGTGTGTTAAGCCCTCAATAGAGGGGATGCATGAAGGGAGTCAAGATGAGAGCAGAGCAGATTTCAGGGGGGGAGGCAACACTGGAACTGGGTCATTAACAGGAGTGTAAGTGATCCAGCAGGAAAAGTGGTGAGATGTTGTCATACTGTGATTTATGATAAGAAATACATATTTGGTCTTCATCCAGTTCATGGCACAGAGCTCTTAAAACCCTTCAGATTTCCTAAGTGACGAAAGAGATAAAGGGTCTTCAGTTATTCATAAGAAACCCCTTTCAATCACACCTGAGTTTGCCAGAGGAACCAACCATATGAATAGAAGGTTGGAACTTTCAGCCCTCTGGAAGGGGAGAGAGGCTAGAATTTGAGATCATTCATGAATGGCCAATGATTTAGTCAATCATACCTAGGTAGTGAGGCCTCCATAAAAATCCAAAATGACAGGGTTTGGGGAGTTTCTGGGTTGACAAATATGGTGTTTTGTTTGGAGTACGTTTCTTTAAAATGCCAATGTCATATCCAGGGGGATATGCCCAGTAAGATGTGCCTAAAGTTCTGAAAAGAGGGGACACTGGAGTCTGAGACTTTGAGAACATCTTTACATAAGACTATCTCCACCTGCTGGTGCTTTTAATTAAATGGCAGCTTCTCTCTTCCAACAACTTTGGCTGACCCAGAGCAAACTCAATTTTAGCTTGGACTTAATCTTTAATCTCTAAATATAATGTATGAAATTTTACCACCTTTTTGATGAGCTAGACTCTCCCCAAAAGGGTATGGACATAAATCACTTACTTACAATTAAGTTTTGAAGAAAAATTCAGGTATATTATATTAAATAATTGATTCTCGGAGTGCCTGGGTGGCTCAGTAGGTTAAACATCTGACTCTTAATTCAGCTCAGGTCATGATCTCGGGGTCCTGGGATCAAGCCCTGCGTCAGGCTCCGGGCTCAGTGGAGAGTCTGATTGAGAATTCTCTCTCCCCTCTCCCTCTGCCCCTTCTCCCCGGCTCACACGCTCTCTCTCTGTTTCCCCCCTCCAAATAAATAAATAAATAAATAAATAAATCTTTCAATAATTGATTCTCAGTTTTATATTAGGGATCAATAGCCATAACCTGGCTTCCTAGACTTTAATGGCAATGAAGAGCATTTTGTATATGTTCTCAAAAATTGAAAATTTAACATATTAGCTGAGATTTAAGATTCCTCAAGAACACCCATTAGCCATGTTTTAACCTTCCTAAACTTCACAATCTATAGAGCTTGTGTTTCAGGGGTAACTTGGATACCAGTCTGATAAAATTAAACAGCATTACAGTAAAAACAACATTTGCTTTAATAAATACTTCTCTTTAACCTAAAACTCTAATTTTATTAGAAAATGGGGAACACTGATGCTAAAATAGATTACACTAGCTAGGCAAGAGAATGTCAGGTTTTCCAGACCTCAGGGTACAAAAATGAACAGGCTCAAGATATTTTGCTGAAATAAATATTATCTCAATCTTGTGTACATAAGGCAGTTTCAACTTTTCCAGTACCAAATGCAAGATATTCTTGTATGACTTTTGCCTGTTGTGAGACACCAGAGATACCTTCCCATCACGCTGTGACACCAACTCACACTAACAAGTAAATACCTTATGCACAATGTCTTTCCATTTCTTGGAGCAATTATTTGGGTAACAGTACAGTAACCCTTCCACTCTATTTCCTGGACTTAAATGCTAATCAAATCTTCTCAAACAGACTGTCTAGCCAGGCTGCCTGGGTTTGATTCTGACTGCGCCTTATTAACTGTGACCTTGGAGAGGTTGTTAAATCTCTTTGCGCCTTGTTTTTCTATCTGTAAAATGGAACACTGACAGTACTTAGAGCTGTGATCACACTATGTGTCTTATCAGTTAGCCAAAGTAAAACGAATCACCTTCGCCAGGGTGAATAAAGGTTCTAGCTTCCTCCAGGGACTTACCCTTTGTATTATCAAGAAGCTACAAGAATACTTACTTATGTCCAAAGGGTCAGTCCCAGTACTTCTCAACTACAATTCAGGCAGTATTCTATGGGACGAGAGGACTCCACCAGCAATGTCCATACCACGGTAATTTTAGAAACGAATGCCCTCTGAGCTGCTGCTGAGACTGCTGTCACTTCTGTCACCCCAGGAATCCACTCCTCGTGCTCTGCTTGTGTTTTTTTAACATTCCCATGTTCTGGCCTAGAAAAAGGGAATCTGTTTTCCTCTCTACCGCTCTGCCCCAAGAACTGTGGAATCTACAAGACGATCACTGCAATGCAGGAACCCCAAAAGCTAACCAATCACGAATTTTAAATTACCAAGCGGTCTACATTGGTGTTTTCTTTATAAAAGTCTTCAGTAAGTTGGAACAATTGGCCACCTTGGGAAAATATCCTTATCCCAGTACAAAGTTCAGAAAAGTTGGCACAAAGGTGGCTAGGAGAGGCAGGAGGAGTATTACCTGAGGAGAAGCACATGGAGGGGGGGCAGGGGAGGCAGAGACAGAGGTGAGTGCAAAGGAACTGCAAAGAGCAAACTGATGTGAAGTGGGCTGAAGAAAATTTCTCAAAACTTTTATTACGTCTCAAAAAGTAATGTGTCAGAGAGTTAATAAAAATGAAGTTCAAACAGACTAACACATGAATTTAGGATAATTCTACACCCAAATATAGAAGGGTTTCCACCACCATCTACCACCTCTTCAGGATCTTTTGGTTTATGCTCAAGGAGCGCTTTAATAAAATTCAAAATAAAAGTTGGGAATATTTTCTGCTGGGTGATTTTCCTGATACTGATCCACCATAAACCTATATTTTTTCCTACCAAAACTATGGATGTTTTCTATAGAAAATAATTTTTCTTTCCAACATACATTGTCAATAATCCTAGTGAGAAGAAACTGCATCACTACCAGAGGGTGAGTTGAATGTTAATAGCCCTATGTGGCCACCCCAAGGACAATGTGTCAAGAAGGCTCACTGGCCATGCTACACCATCCTGTCTGTCTCAGCCCTTGGGCAGCTTGCAAGGCCAGGGGTGGCATTCTTTGACTTGTGGCCTTGCAGCTGCATCACTCCAGTTTCTGCCTCTGTGGTCCCATTACTTCCTCATCTTTTGTCTGTCAAATCTCTCCTGTGTGCTTCTTATAAAGGCATTTGTCATTGGATTTAGTGACCCTCCAAATAATCCAGGACAATCACTTTATCTCAAGACCATTAATTACATACGCAAAGACCTTTTCTCCAAATAAGGTAACATTTACAGCTCTAGGAATTAAAGCATGGACATATCTTTTGGGGAACCACCAATCAACCCATTATAAGGCCTATGAGGCTGCTGGAGGAGTTGGAGTTGGAGATGCCAAATAGCTTAAGGTGAACTTGGTAGAGCATTAGGAGAGAGGAGGAAGAGGAAGGGGGCCAGATGGGATGTTGGGAAGGGGATAGCTCTGGGGAGTGGTCCCACATTTCTAGCTTCCCATATACTGAATGTTTCTTTCTGTTTTCAGTTGATGTGCTGGCTACATAGTAGCTTCTCTGATGTGTAGGTAGGCCTGTTCCAAAATAGAGCTTTGTCATTATCTCAAAATACTTGATATAAAAAAAATTCTATTGGATTAAAAATCTATCCTCATTAGCAAAGGAAATTTCAATGTTACAGCTGAGAAATAAAGAGATTCCTAAATTTTTCAAATATAATTTTAACTGTTATAATATTTTAATGGTTTTAATACTTTTTTTATTTTATTATGTTATGTTAATCACCATACATTGCATCATTAGTTTTTGATGTAGTGTTCCATGATTCATCGTTTGCGTGTAACACCCAGTGCTCCATGCAGAACGTGCCCTCTTTAATACCCATCACCAGGTGACACTTGCACCAAAAAAAGTGTCTCATTGATGGTAATTATCAAGATTTTGCATCATTAATAAGACTTGAATAGGAAATCTATAAACATTTCAGTTATAAAAATGTGACACAAAAAAATCAGATTCTTTCACCAAAACAAACTTAAGTTTCTCATTTTAAAAACTACAAATATTTGTCATCTTTATATAAAGACCATATTCAATTTCTTCATTAACATGCTGTATTTTTATAATTATATAAATAAAAAATATATAATTTTTTTCAACAAGTCCCATATAAGTGTCTCCAAATTACCTCCAGTTTAAGCCCAATGTAAAAAAAATTGAGAATAACTGACATACGAGATAAGCATGAAAAAAGTGTATGTGTGTGTGTGTGTTACATAAAACATTAGATAGATAAATAGATAGATGATATATACAAGATATATATATGCAGCAGCAGAGGAACTCAGGAAAGAATGAGTAAGGAAAACAAAAAGAGAACTATGATTGGATTTGCCTCAGAGCCAGCAAAGCCCATGGAAACTTAATGACTGTAAGCCTCAAAAAGAGAGCAGTCAGAAGTGATCAGAAGAGGTCAGGAAACTGATCAAGAGAAGCAGGATATTGATTACATATGAAAATACTTTCCAACTCTCTAGCCAATAGAGACTGGCGGTCAAAAATAAACCCAAATGTAATAGTATGGCTATATTCACAGAGTGGAATACATTAGCAATAAGAAGAACAACCTAATAGCATAACATAATAACAAATTCAATGTAACACTTCATGAGCACACGATGAAGGCGATGAAGGCGCACACACGAGTTGTGTCTTTCCACAGTGTCAGCTTTATTCAATCATAAAGCAAAGTTAAATCACAATATAAAGCAGGCCTAGGATTCCAAACTCCATGACATTTCACCACGTGATTAAGCTTGGCTTCTTACACAGCACACGGAGCAGGACAGAAGACAAGCCACACAACAAACAAGACAACAGAAGGGTGCAGGAAGTTCATGAACCAAACGCGAAGTCAGGCTGGGGGCGCACAGCTGAGCTAAGGCCTCCGTCTGGTCCGGGTCAGCTCTCGGCACTGACTGCTTCTCATGTTCCAGCAGGGAAGGCTCTCGGTTCTGTTCGGACATCCATCAGGCAGCGCCTTCGGCGGCAGTTGCCTTTTTTAAGGGGTCAGACATAGAGGGGTCAGGTCTGAAGAGTCTGACTGTTTTCTGCCCAAATCCTTCCCTTTTTAAAGGGAATGGATCGGTTTGGGGTCTCTGCAGCCCTCCTCTGGTTCCGCTCATGATCAGTTCTCCCCAGAACTGGCGTGGGAGCCGGTGATGTCTCCTGGCTGCAGGACCTTACCTGCTTGCGTCATTGCTTGACACTGGCTCCTGCTGGACAGGAGAGACTCCATTCTGCTCTCTGCACATGGCACAAAAGAATATATACTGTGGGGCGCCTGGGTGGCTCAGTTGGTTAAGCGACTGCCTTCAGCTCAGGTCATGATCCCGGAGTCCCGGGATCGAGTCCCGCATCGGGCTCCCTGCTCAGCAGGGGGTCTGCTTCTCCCTCTGACCCTCCCCCCTCTCATGTGCTCTCTCTCTCTCTCTCTTTCTCGCTCTCTCAAATAAATAAATAAATCTTAAAAAAAAAAAAGAATATATACTGTACGATTCCATTTATGTAAAATACAAATTCACTTGTGGTATTGGAAGGCAGGATAGTGGTGATCCTTAGGAGGTTATAAACTAGAAGGGGACTCTGAGTTACTAGTAATGTTGTATTTCTTGATCTGAGAGCTGATTACCCAGGTATAGCCAGTTTGTGAAAATTCACTGAACTGCACACTACCAATACGTACACTTCTCTATATGTATATTTCTTCAATCAGATTTAAAGAGTAGAATAAATGGTAAAATAAATGCCTCTCCTCGTTTTTTTCCTAATGCCTCCTTTTAATTTTGTTGGAAATGTTATTTATTGGATAGAACACCACTGCTCTCAACTAAAATAAAAACAATAAACCAAGGGCTTACACATTCTTCAGCAAAAAGTGTCCTTTTAAAAGTTAGGTGTTGTTAGCATAATTGTAAATGTGATTGGAAATATGGGGAAGTATAACATACTTTTTGATGGAAAATAAGAAGTGTTGTCTCCTCTACTGAGTTTGAGGTAGATTGGAACACAGTTTTTCTGGACTCCAAGACCAATGAGTTTTCAACTACCTCAGGTATGGCAGATCCGGGTGATGGTGATGTGCACTCCTTTGCCCGGCCTCCCTCAGAGATGGGGTGAGGCCACCTGACCAGTGTAATTGATGGATCAGGAGTGGGAAATGGCACACATCACACTGAGGCCAGCCTGACTCCTCTACCTCTCTTCCTAAAACATGCCAGGAAACAAGATTTCACATAACACATACTGAGAACAGGGTGGAAGTACATTTAAGGAAATTATCACTTGTCATTCACATCAAAATGTAACTAGAAAGGTTGGTACAAACAAAAGAATCATTGTTATGTAATTACATGATTTTAAAAATTGCTTTCCGGTATCTTTTGCTACCTTCTTTGAACTCCACTTATGTACCCACACAGCTTTGATCTTGCTAATGTCCTTTGGGTTTTCTGGGGGGTTTTTTTTGAAATGTTGCCAAATAATATTCATCTGAAATTTCCCTAAGTCTCTTTCTGTCTTTGTTTCTGTATCTGTCACTCTCAACCAACACCACCAACGTATTCATTGCTTTTCTACATTCATGTTAATACTACAAAAAAAATCTTATATAGCCATGAGGAAATTTGAGCAAAATGTCAAAATTTACATCTAAGTATTATTTATGGATTGTTAAGTGATAGCAGCCCAGCATCCATATGTTTCAATGATTAAAACTGCTCTTTTGTCTGAAGATTTAAAGAAGAAAATGTTGCAGTGGGAGGAGGAAAGAAGAAAAGGGGAGAAAGGAGAGGAAGGAAAGGAAGGTTTAAGGGAAGGCTAGAGTGTTAGAAATGCAGAGTGATTAGGAGAAAAAGGATATTTTTGATGAAAGTCATGCCACAGAAAGAAGTCTATTGTGGAAGCACTGGGTTCACAGTTTAGTGCTTATTCTTCAGTGTACTTATTTGTTCATTTATTCAATTTATTTAGCTAGCTCACAAAATTGCACCACTCTTCTCAGGCTGGTGGATAAAGAACAGGCAGAAAGATAACTAGGAAACAGTCCAAGAGTTTATATTGCTGGTTACAGCAGTGTCCCTTGTAACAATTTTTTAAAGAACTAGAAGTATGTAGGCCAGTGGTTTCTTCAGAAAAAAACAGTCTTCACATTCCAGAAACTCATGGGGAGGTCATTGAAAAGAACAAGGCGTGCACACAGAAACATGCCCCAGAGAATCAGTCATTCCCTGAGATTCTATATACCCTGCATTCTGGAATGTTAGATTTGCTTAGAAATAGCTGAGGTGATACTGATCTCCCTGGTAAAGAGCGGGAGTAAAGCCCAACAAGGTCATTCACCTTGGGAGTTGGGCTAAGAGTAGGGTTCGTGACCATATTTTTATTTAATGTAGTTGGCTCCTCAGTGGATATGACTGAGGATCCCACAGCTAAAGAATCAGCAAATGAAGAAACCAAGTTAAGAAGGAAAACAACAGCAACAACAACCTTGAATTACAGGGGCAAATATAAGATTTGGTTGTGTGCCAAAAGGATGCCAAGTGGTTGGCGTGGCACATGGTGGTGACGTTGACCGGACCTGGAAATCACAGTCTTGGACTCTAGTTTGCACCCAGTGCAAGTCACTTTTTATAAAGCTGATCTTCACTTTTCTTATCTGTAAAATGAGCAAATTTTTATGAAATGAGTTATAAGACTTCCTCTCATCTAGTACTCTATTATGGCATCCACAAAGCTGTGCTCCGAGGTTTGGCTCATGGTGACAGCCTTGAAGTCAAGCAGAGTTGCAGTGTGGCCTCCTTGGCCTCTTAAGCCTCACATCTCAATCTCTGTTGAGATCTATCTATATGTATTTTTTATTTTATTTTATTTACTTTTTAAGATTTTATTTATTTATTTGTCAGAGAGAGAGAGAGAGTGCGCACAAGCAGGGGGAGCAGAGACAGGCAGAAGGAGAAGCAGACTTCCCGTTGAGCAAGGTTCCCCATGCAGGACTCGATCCCAGGACCCTGAGATCATGACCTGAGCCGAAGGCAGACGCTTAACGACTGAGCCACCCAGGCTCAGTCCCTGTTGAGATCTATAAAATCAAGAATCTGTAGTAATGGAGGCATAAACTACGAGTGTTCTTTCTTTATAAAAGAGTGGTCCAGGCTGTGATCTTTGAGGGAGGTGAATAAAAAAGGAAAATAAAAATGTAGGGAAAAGAGGAATGATAACACAAATACAGTACTTAAGAAAAGTTGCAGATAAAATTGCCTGAGAACCATTGTTCCAAATGACTGTGTTGTAGTCTCCAGATTGTCATTATTTTAGCTTGTTTTGTTTTTTAGTTTCCTTAGAATCTGTGTGTTTTAGAAATTTAGAAGGTAAGAGTTGTCCAAATGAAAATCGAGAGATAGTACCTCCTGTCTTATAGTGAATCTCCACCCCCTCCTTTAATCTGGGTAGTTTTTCAAAACTTAGTTTCACAAATAATGTTGAAAACCACTCAAGGGGCACCTGGGTGGCTCAGTCGGTTAAGGATCTGCCTTTGGCTCAGATCATGATCCTGGAGTCCAGGAATCAAGCCCCGCATCAGGCTCCCTGCTCGGCAGGGAGTCTGCTTCTCCCTCTCCCTCTGCTCCCCCGCCCCCCGCCACGCTCATGCTCTGTCTCTCCTCTCTCTCAAATAAATAAATAAAATCTTTTTAAAAAGTTGCTATCAATAAATAAGGTCTGATGATCTAATGTGTAACATAATTACTATAGTTGATAACAATGTATTATATAATTGAAATTTGCTATGACAGAACTTAAATGGTCTCACCATTTGAAGAAATAGATATGCGAGGTAATAGATACATTAATTAACTACATGGGAGAAATCCTTTCACAATCTATACTATATCAAATCACCACAATGTACACTAAATATCTTATGATTTATCAATTATACCTCAGTAAAAGTGTAAAAAAAAGTTGAGATCAAATAGGTTTTTCCAGAAGAACTCATAGAGTCTATATTCCCTGCATTCTCCCATGCTTGAAAATTTGCTGATGACTTTTATAAATGAATAATATTTTGGCAAGGTATAATATTTCTGATTAAAATCTCTGACCTCAGAACTCTGCAGTCATTATTCCTCTGTTTTCCTGGCATTGGATTCTACTATAGAAGACAAAAGCTAGCTTTTAGTGACTTCCTTTGTTTTCTAGGCGTCCAAAGAATTATTTTCTCCTTCCTCAAAGTTTAATTATTTCAATAATTATAGGTCTATGTTGATATGTATTGATTGTTCTTCATTATTTTTTTACAATCTGCAATCTTTAGTCTTCATTTCAGAGGAAATTTCCTCTACATTTTTGAATAAAATTCTATTCCTTTTGTTGGCATTTCTACTGTAGGGACTTCTAGAATCCTCATAGTGAATTTTATTTGCTGATCCTATCATCATTTCTATATTTTAAATCCCTATGGGCACTGTAGTTACCTAAATTTTTCCTATGCACAAAAATTTATATTTCCAGCCATATATATTTTGTATTTTGTCATTTCCACTTTATTATACAGTAGTGTTCTGGTTAACAGTTTGCTTACTTAGTGACTGCCCTCTTAATATCATCCCATTGTTATATTTCATACTTATTTTTGAATTCACGATTTTACAAGTTTTGGGGTTTTATTTTAAAGATTTATTTGAGAGAGAGAGCGAGTGAGCAGGGGGGAGGGGCAGAGGGAGAGAGAGAATCCCAAGCAGACTCCCTGCTGAGCACAGAGCCCAATGCAAGGCTTGATCTCACGACCCAAGGCTCAATCTCATGACCCATGAATGAGATCATGACCTGAGCCAAAATCATGAGTCAGGTGTTTAAACTACTGATACGCCCAGGCACCCCCTTTTTTGTTGTTTTTTAATAAACTCAGAGCACTCACATTAGGTTGTCTTCTATTGTTTGGCATTTTCCTCCAGATGGGGTTCATCATTTTGTCTCTTCTAGGCCATGTTCCACATTTATATGTAGCTCTCTCTAGCTACTGATTGATGGATCACATTTCTACATCTTGTCCCTCTTTCACATGACGGTAGATATTGTGTAGTAAAATCTATTTGATAGACACCCTCCCCATCTCTTGCTATGACCCTCTGAGTCTAATTCTGAGATCTGAAATGCTCTATTTTCTGTATATTGAGGCTACAGAGGGGGGAAAGGCAATGCTCAAACAAAGTCACATATTTTATTTCCTTCTGAAATACTTTTAAAGAAACTATAGCAAGGCTCACTGCATCCAGCCAAGGATGCATTCACTCCTGCAAACTTCTTCTCTATCCACCTTAGCATGAATCCCTAGAAATGAGCAGCACCTTGGGGCCCTTTTTGCCTTTGCTCATACAATGAGAGCTTATGTCCTCAAAAGTATTTCCTAGGGCGCCTAGGTGGCTCAGTTGGTTGGGCGACTGCCTTCGGCTCAGGTCATGATCCTGGAGTCCCAGGATCGAGTCCCACATCGGGATCCCTGCTCAGTGGAGAGTCTGCTTCTCCCTCTGACCCTCCTCCCTCTCATGCTCTCTGTCTCTCATTCTCTCTTTCGCAAATAAATAAAATCTTAAAAAAAAAAAAAAAGTATTTCCTATATTTTTCTCTTGGCCTTCCAGGATGCCTGGTCAGGCCATTTCTCTCCCTGTGGAAGATGTTGGTGAGAATGTCATTACATTGTGGATTCACACTATTAAGAGAGGATTGCTTCTGCAGAATGGAAGCAGAGCTAGAACTCTGTCCACACCAGAATTCACTCATTCAACATATTTTTTGTGTCAACTCTGTGCCAAGCCCATTTTTGGGTTTATAGCAGTGAACAAAATAGACAAAGTACCTATAGGCCCCATGAAGATTACCTTCTAGTGGGAATGAGACAACAATGAATAAATAACAAAACATACATAAGTCAGGTGATATAAGCATGATGACAAAAAATGAAGTAAGCATAATAGAAAGTGACAGGGCTTAGTATTTTGGATAGGGTGGTCTGAAAGGACCTCTGATAAGGTGACATATGAGCTACAGACTTGAAGAAAGTAGAGAAATGAGACATGATTTCCAAGGGACGAACTCTCCAGGCCAAGGAACTACAAATGCAAAGAATTAGCACTGTAAAAGTGATTGGCATGTTTGAAGCAGAATGAGGAGGCCATCAAGACTAGTAGGCAATGAGGTCAGAAGGGTAGTGGGAGCCAGGATCTAGAGAGGCCAGGAAGACATTTTAAGGCCTTGGGCCTTTACACTGAGGAAGATGGAAAGCCACTGGAGTGTTTTACATGGAGGAGTGACATGATATTTTGAAAGAAGCTTTCTGTCTCTCCCCATCTCCCTCTCAGGTAACTACTTTTTTTTTTCTTTTTTTAAAAGATTTTATTTATTTATTTGAAGAGAGAGACACAGTGAGAGAGGGAACACAAGCAGGGGGAGTGGGAGAAGGAGAAGCAGGCTTCCCGCCGAGCAGGGAGCCCGATGCGGGGCTCGATCCTAGGACCCCGGGATCATGACCTGAGCCGAAGGCAGACGCTTAACGACTGAGCCACCCAGGCACCCCAGGTAACTACTTTTTAAATTTATGGAGAGAAGGTGTACAATTTTCTTGTTAAGCTGCTGCTGAATTTTAACTTGTTGTTGTTGTTGTTAGGTGTTGGGAAGAGAGGCTGTGAACCCACTTCATTCAGCCATTTCTACCTCTGCAGTCCGGATGGAGGACGTGTGTTCCCACTGTGCTCTGGTGGCTTGGAGGAAGGGTCTCATTCACACTCACCTGCCGTGTCACGCAGGAAAGCTGTACCCTGAGGCAATCTGGGAATGGCATAGTGAGTACATTTGCCCGCTCTAGCCTCAAATGAGCCTCCTGTGTAATTAGACAGCATGTGCCTGTGTGGTAGTACTTTACAGTTCCTTTTTTATAAATACATGACTCATAACGGCATTGTTCTTTGTTTAGCTTTCATCTTTCTCAGAGTTTGAAGTATTTGTAAAAAAAATAGTTGTAGGTTTATTTTTCAAGATTGTTACCTTAAATCAAGAATTTTTAAAAACATAATTATGGGGTGCGCCTGGGGGCTCATTTGGTTAAGCACCTGCCTTCAGCTCAGGTCATGATCTGAGGGTCGTGTGGTGAAGCCCAGCATCAGGCTCCTCACTCAGCAGGGAGTCTGCTTGTCCCTCTGCCCCTCCCCCTGCTCATGCTCTCTCTCTCTCTCCCTCTTACAAATAAATAAATAAAAGCTTTTAAAAAATAAAAACATAATTATGACCCCAAATTTCTTATGAAAAAGGATGCTTATAGGAATAATGTTACATTTGAATGAAGGAAATGCTATTAACCCATTAAGATAATCAATAAATCATTTCTGATACCAAATGTATAACAAGATTTCTTGAATATCTGAAGGAGAGGATTTCTGATAAAGATTCACCATTTCTTGCCTTTTTTTTTTTTTAACTGGAGTATTTCAAATTTAATTGTTGCATTAAAAGGAACTCCAAATTCTCTTCATGCAAAAGTCTGGGTCTTGGGCCTGATGTTTACTGTCTTTGAGTAAATGGAAATAATTATTTGAGCACAGTAGAAACAATAGCATCAGATTTATTAAACTCTGGTTCAAGATGTAAATTGTGTGCAATTTTATGGGTTATCTATAGAGTAGTGGGCAAAACCAGTTAAGTGTTAAGGGAGTAAGAAGTTAACTTTGAACCTACACATATTTTTAATAAAGTTTTTGGCTATGGTAAAGACAACCTGAATTTTTAAAGGACAAACACTGAAAAACCCCTAAGCCATTAAAGTTACACGTAAGATATATTGAGTATCATGTCAATAAGCTTCTCATGTCATATATTGTATACTGTCCTTGTGGTTATTTTTGTCAGAGAATTGTTATCAAATGTGTTCTATATTTTGGTGAAGAAATCCTGGCAACTACACAAAGGTTTTACCAATTTTCACTTCCACCAACTATGTATGAGAACTTTCCAAAATCCATAAATCACTATCCTGTGGTTTAGCTGAAATTAGAGGAGCATTGTTAAATAATGTAATGTTTGCATAACACTTTCTGAACACAATTATTTCAGTATTTTCAGACCGTGTCTAAGTTCATTTTTTAACTTTTTTTTTTAAAGATTTATTTATTTATTTTAGAGGTGGAGGGGCAAAGGGAGAGGGAGAGGGAGTCTGCTTATGACACTGAATGGGGAACCCCAAGCCAGGCTTGATCCCATGACCCTGAGATCAAGACCTGAGCTGAAACAAAGAGTCAGACGCCTAACCAACTGTGCCATCCAGGCGCCCCACACTGTGTCTAAATTTAAAAGAAAGTGTCATTATTATTGAAAACATTTTTGTAATGAGTAAATGAAGTCCCCCAAATTAAAATGAATCATACTATGAAAGATCTCTATTTGGCGTACTTTATTCTCTGAGCAAGCAAAACCCATCTAGGACCTTTGTTTAAGATTATAAAACAACAAAAAAGCACTTAAAAAATACATGCAAAACAAAAACAAACAAACAAAAGATAGTCAATATTTCTGTCTCTATCCATTTTATTTTTTTTTAAGATTTATTTATTTGAGAGAGAAGGAGAGTGTGCCCTCACATGCATGAGTTGGGGGAGGGGCAGAGGGCACATGGGGCTCAAACTCACAACCCATGAGATCATGACCTGAGCCAAAATCACGAGCTGGTCACTTAACCAACTGAGCCACCCAGGCATCCCAGTCCATTTAAAATAAAAGCCTAGAAAAAAGATATTATAGCCATAGGAAATCAATCAATATTCTTTAACTTAATATTTCTTGAAGTTTCTACCAAGAACTATTGCAAACATTTCCCTGAGAAGTTTTATGTCAAGTGTCCAAGGGCTCACACATTTCCCTCTCCAACTGTAAACTCCCCAATCCCATATACACTTAAATATAAAGTAAGCCAAACATAATGAAGTTAGGAAACTATTGTACTAACTACAGATACACAAGCATGTGCCAGGCTCACCAAGTCATAAGCAGGAAATGTCTAATAAAATAAGTTCAAAATACAAACATTTCCCCCTCAGCTTCTCCTAACTTTTAGTTCAGTCTTCTTCTGTAAACCCAAATTACCATATAAATGTATGATAATGTATGCTTGATCATATTATTCCTTAACATGCCTAGATATCAAAGCTTATGCATGTTTAGAAAACAAAGCAAATCCTTGTGAGAGGTAGTCACTACTAATTAATTAATTAGTTAATGGGCAATTGATTTTGATTATTTTTGTTTAATAATAAAAATATTTAATAATTTCAATTTGTCTTTAGTTACAGCTCTAACACTATCCCATAGATCTTTATATGTAATGATTTCATTAATACTATTTTTGGAGTAATTATAAGTTTTTATTTCCTTCATGGCTCAACAGTTATTGAGAAAAATAACTAGGTGTATGAGTGGTTGACCTTTTTAACATTCCTGTATAATGACTTTCTAGTTTTATTGCATTGTTGTCAGAGATTATGACCCATACAATGTCTTATAACTTCCATCGTTTGAAAGGTGGCTATTTATTTTCTGTCTGTAGGGTACAGTTTGATTTAGTCTTTTAAACTAACATAATCCTCTTATTCAGATCCCATATATTATTATGTATTACCACTTAAAGTGTCTGTTTCAATTGAGGTCCTAAAGGCTAAGAACAATAGATTAGGTGCTGAGAGTTCTAGCATCCCAAGTCAAGGGACTGGATGACCTAGATGATATATTCCAAGAGATTATAAACCAATTCTCCCAACATTAGCAGGTCACAGTGGATTACTGCAAAATAATGAAGATTAACCTTCGGGGCCCCCTTACTTGCACAGGTACCTCCTGAGACAACGAAAATTGTCCATTAAAAGGGCATTTAATATTAATTCGCTGCACCAGAAAACTGGAAATCTTACAGCTCATATATGAAAGAAACTTAATAGTGGTTTTCCCACATTTTATAAGAATTCTAAAAATGTATATGGCAGTTCCAATAAAGAGGTATAAAGGTGGAAGGAACTTCTAAACTAATAATAAAAGAAATTTTAATTAACCATGACAAAGCAAAAATTGAAATACCTTTCTAATATATCTATTGAAAATGGCATTTCTAAATCATTGGCATATGAAGAGGAGATTGAAGAATATGCAGCCAAAAATCACAGGGAAAAAGACATTTTAGAGGTGTAGGAGGCAGTTAATAAAAATGCTATTTTTTAATTCTGTGAGGTACTTGTAAGCTTTTTAAAATTTGTCATTAGTTCGGGCACCTGGGTGGCTCAGTTGGTTAAGCGACTGCCTTCGGCTCAGGTCATGATCCTGGAGTCCCGCATCGGGCTCCCTGCTCGGCGGGGAGTCTGCTTCTCCCTCTGACCCTCCCCCCTCTCATGTGCTCTCTCTCATTCTCTCTCTCTCAAATAAATAAATAAAATCTTTGAAAAAAAAAATCTTTGAAAAAAATTTGTCATTAGTTCTAAATTCTTTTCACCTTCTTAGTAAATAGTCACGTTCATTCCTAATTTCACATTTGTTCTTTTGTATTCTTTTTTTTAACACCCCCGAAAAACTGAAAGAGTTTCAGGTCCCATGAAAGTTACATCATACACCTTCTGTGATTATACACCTTCAGTGACTAAAGAATGAAGTATTGAAGAGTTTAAAGAGAAGATTCATTTGTATCCCCTTGCCTCAAGCCAAATAACCACAAGGCAAGGATGCCTGACAAGAGCCAGGTAGTTCCCTGGGAAGGATCACACTTGAGAATTTTTAAAAGGGCCCCCACGTAAGACAACAACCTGAAGATACAAAAGGACCCCAACATGGAGAGGCTGTGTGGGGTGATGTTTATTTATCTCATGCTGGGACTAGGGCAAGAACCACAGGGAATGAAATGTATCATCACATGGACCAGGTAGGAAATCTCCACCAAGTGAAAAAACTAGTCTCAGATTTTGGGTGGAACTGAGAATTCTACAGCTTCTTACAAACTATTGATGGAAATCTAACCTAAGCTAAAATTTTGTCTTTTTTAAGTCTTCTAATACAACTCAGAAACATTTACATGTGCCTTGTAATACCATCTCATCTTATTTACTATTTTTAGGATGTGACTTCTGCTTTTTCTTTATTTCTGAAGTTCATTGCTAAAACTATCATTTTAAGCCTTCTAGGTATCAAGGAATTTGTCAAGAGAAAGCAATAGATTGCTGTTTTCACACCACCAGACTGTGGGTAACTCAAGAGGACGGGCAGTGTTATTTAACTGCATCCTTAGCAACCAGCACAGAGTCTGGCTTCTTGCAGATGCTCAATAAATACTTGCTGAATGATTCAGATGTGGAGCAGACCACCCTGGGGAAGCCAGGTGTCACGTTAACGGAAACAGACCAGATCAAGGGCAGAGGTGCCTGGACAATCAGAGCAGGCAGTAAGAAAGAATTTCAGAATTATAAAATTCAACTGCAAACGTGACTTTAGTCTTTCTAAACCCATAATAGCAGGGCCCTAACTGGGACTAGATAGACTTTTTTGCTTGGGTGTATTCTTAAGCAACTAATAGAATAAAGTTGTTTACCTCAATACAACAGAATAGGTCAAAACTCAGAGGGCTTTATGGTGCTTGAAACCTTTCTAGAAGAGTCTGGAAGCAGGACTGAGGATGGCACAGTTCACGCCTCTCATTTAGACAACTGCCTTACACCTTTACCCTCTGTTGTTCCCATCATTGAGCATCCAAGATGGGGAGGGGGGTCTTTTTTTGATGGGGGATGTACTGAAACTGCATGGGCCAATTAGAGATAAATGATGTTTTTCACCAACTTTGTTGAATCCAATCAAATACACCATTTTATAGGAAGCTTTTTCTCCAACCTGTAACAATCATGAGGTAAATATCACCTGTTGATCTGTGAAAGGGTCAAAATGAATGGTAGAGATAGATTTTCTTTTCAAAATCTTTACTAGTTGACTAGTCTCATTTAAATGCATGAAAAGGAAGTGGGTCAGGGAAACAAGGGAAATCATGGCTAAGTCACCCAGCCTCAGTCCCCACATACTTTACTTTAACTTAAATTTATCTAATGATCTCCTTAACATTATTTCAAGAGCCACCATTTCTTTCCATTTCTATGCCAACAAGAAAAAATTGTCCTTCACAAAGATATGGGATGAGTACACATTTTTTAAAAGTCTGATAACCACAAGTATTTAAACATAAAATTTAATTGAAATTTTTTTTTAAAATCTCTGACTTTCTGGGTGTCCCTTTGGAGATTTTGATTAATGGCTTACTATGAAGGGCACAGGTTAGAGTAACCTGTTATCTTTCATTACATGGAGTCAAGTAATAGTTTATCAGAGTGTCAGATTTCATTCTGACAATGAATGTGATTTTTTGGGCACCTCACACTTTTCCTTTTGAAAGCCTCTGCTTTTTCTAAAGTACATATTTGGCTCCCATGTTACTCTTATCTCTTCTATCTCCGGTTTGGCTCTAACACAGCTATTGCAGCTGGCCCATGGACTGCCCCTGCCTGGCAAGAACTTGTGGAATTTTGAACTCACGCTTTAGGAAAATTTCATTTTCTCCTCCTATTAATTGTGATGTCAGATTCAAAATATTTCAGCTCCAGGGTGGGATGTTTTCTTTTTCCCTACATTCCCTTTCCTTATCCCACTATTATAGAATTAAAACTACAAATGCTGCTAACTCCCTCAGTATATGCTGGTTTAACATACACTAACATATATCCTGTCAAACTAAATTGACATGGAGTATCTGCCAACGTACTTGAGTGATTTTTAAAATAATAATATAAATAATCTTCACCAAACCTCTATGATCTGTAAAGCAGTAAGTATTATAGGGGATACCTATAAAGCTGAATTTGTGCCCACATGAATTTTCTCATAATCTAGTCCAACTTCAGAAATGGATAAAATCTAGCTTCCTTTTCACCTAGTTCCATACCTGTCTTTTGGTTTATAAAAAACCACGTTGAGAACATACTCTCAAATTAGAACCAGTCTATTTCATGAGAAAATAAAAGACTCATATCTCTATTTTTTGCTTCAAAGTAATGGCATTAGTTCACCTAAATACTTCTATGGATTCATCTGAGTGAATCACATGCCTCAGTCCTTAGTGCAGAAGAGAACAGGAAATACAGTTACACCTTCCCACAATATTGAAAGGATATTCAAAAACATATAGGTCAGCCACAGATACGAAATGTGTCCATTAACTATGCTTTGCTGCCCAATGTCAACACTTATACCCTTCTTTTTCATTTAAACTTCCAACCACATGGGGCACCCGGGTGGCTCAGTGGTTAAGCATCTGCCTTCGGCTCAGGTCAGGATCCCAGGGTCCTGGGATCAAGTCCCACATCAGGCTCCCTGCTCCGCGGGAAGCCCGCTTCTCCCTCCCCCACTCCCCCTGCTTGTGTTCCCTCTCTCGCTGTCTCTCTCTCTGTCAAATAAATAAATAAAATCTTTTAAAAAATAAAAATAAAAATAAATTAAAAAAATAAACTTCCAACAACACTATTTTCTCCCCCAACATTATGCCACTATTTATCATATGAATACAACACTCTCAGTCTATGAGCTAACCCAAACCTCATTAATTACCACATTTAATTTCAAGTCAGGATCCCTCAGAAATATTCAGTCCCCCTCCAGCTCCACCATGATCCTATCTTGATATGTTGTAAGCTATGCACTAAATACTGAGGTCACCTACTGCCAACCCTTCTCCATGTAAAAAAGTAGGAAAATGGAAGTGATGGAAGTGGGGTGGAGAGGGGGCGGGAATAGAGAGCAAATGGTTAGAGGTCTATTATTGGAAACCTAACTATTGCAATGCAGGCTTAATTTCTTTTTCCCCCCGGATTTCTACTTGTAATTCTTTATTCCTGTTTAGTAAAATTTGCTTTGAAAATATCAGCCTGGGGGCGCCTGGGTGGTTCAGTCAGTTAAGCGTCTGCCTTCGGCTCAGGTCATGATCCCGGGGTCCTGGGGTTGGGCTCCCTGCTCAGCGGGGAGCCTGCTTCTCCCTCTGCCTGCCGCTCCCCCTGCTTGTGCTCTCTGTCTCTCTCTGTCAAATAAATAAATAAAAATCTTTAAAAAAAAGAAAAGAAAAGAAAATATCAGCCTGTTTTAGATTTTCTAAGTGGAAGCAACTGAAAGGGCTTGCGTGTGCTGGAGCCAGGGTGGCAAAAAGTCGGGAGGAAAGAGTGGCAGCAGGAGTCCATGGACTAGACCCCTGAAAGGGAGACACCTGAGGAGAGAGGCAGAGGCTGCTTGTACATCTGGAACCCTCTTCTGCTCAAATCTTAGAAAGAATGGCTCTGTTTCAATTATGGAGGCCAGCACCTATAGAAGGAGATGAATTTCATTAATGTTTATTGTCAGAAAGAATTCAGATATGTACAAAAGGTGAATTCAAAAGTCACTGGGGAGCAATTTGCAGAAAGAAAAGCAAGACAAAGCTTTACTTGGGTCAGTGTGATGCTCAGAATTGATTGAACATGCCAATTTACTGATGTTTACAAACTTCGTTGAAATACGCATACGAGAAAGGGCATATATAACAAATGAACAGCTCTATGAACTTTTGCAAAATGAATACACATGAAACTAGCTCCCTCTTAGTCTAGGCCCTTCAGAATATATTCCCTAAACTTTTGCCATCACAAATTAGTGAAGTATTTCTAATTATGTGGTATATAAACTTTCCCCTCCCTGTTTTATTGGAAAGTGGCCCCTTGAGACACGCTGATGTCTGACTCCAGTTATACTGACAGCAGTGAGAGGTGGTGCAGGCACGCAGGAGGAAAAGCTTGTTACAAGTCTCCAAGCGAGCCAGGGAAAGGCCCATGACGGAGGAAAGAGGCTGATTCTGCTTACTGAGGAGATTCTGTGGAACTTGGGCGTTTTTGTACTCTCATGGTCTGATTCCTCTCATTTAGCCCTACATTAATTCATACGTTTCCATCTTGCTTAAGAAATACCCTAACTGACCAGAGAGGGAGACAAACCCTAAATGACTCTTAATCTCAGGAAACAAACTGAGTGTTGCTGGAGTGGAGGAGGGTGAGAGGGATGAGGTGGCTGGGTGATGGACATTGGGGAGGGTATGTGCTATGGTGAGCGCTGTGAACTGTGTAAGACTGATGAATCACAGACCTGTAGCCCTGAAATAAATAATACATTATATGTTAATTAAAAATTTTTTTTAAAAAAAGAAATACCCTAACTTTTACATGAGAATAAGACTATAAGTTAAACTGACTTTGTAATTTGGTGATCCTCAGGATAAAATTTTCTATCTTATTTTCAACTACAACTGTTCCATTATTGAAAAATGTAAAAGATAATTTCATATCATCAAGGAAATTATCTACCCTTGAATGCATTGAGACAAGAATTTCGGATACTGAGCACATTGTTTAATGTCCGTAAGTTCTCCGGTGCACTTAGAAACAATCAGCCTATGCCACAATCCTTGCATTTCTCACACATATCCTACTATCCCAGATCGGTGGACATTTATTTCCTAAAGCCTGTCATCAGAAGTAATCACAGGTGAAGAATTACTTAATTCTTTTGTTTAAACACTGCTTGGTATGGATGGTAGAATCCCATTATCTGGTAACATTTTTATTCTCAAAGCCTTCAGATGTAAGTATGTCATATAATCTCAGATTTCCATCTCCTTAAGGATTCTGGCTGCCTGCTACTTTTTCTGATGCCATTTATTATTCTGGTAAGAGTACTAAGTTGTGAATAGTAGAACCAACTTGGGCTACTTCAAATAGTAAAGAAACATATAAAATGATATTGGGCCCTCACAGGATTTGTGAGTGTCAGAGACTCAATGTGAAAAGCCATCCAGCCTGAAACAATATC